ACCTCCCCAACACCTATTCCAACCAACTGTGAGCTCCAGCCCCAGCCTTAACCCTGGATTCTCCCTGATGACAAATTTCTGTGAGATAGTTGAGTCATCCCAACTAGGTCAGGGTCCCCTCCTCTGGATGCCTTAGATCCCAAGACTATCTGCACAATCCCAAATATCACACTCATTCCCTTTTCTGTCTATCTGTCTCTCTCCCGCACCAGACAAGCTCCTACAGAACAGAAACAGGATTTAGTCCATTTTTTTCAGCTCCTCCTCCTAATTAAATACATAAAGTAGATTTGAAAACATGTTTTTTAATCAATCAATCAATCAATGAGACAGGAAGTACCTCAGTGGTAGATCTCTTCATTTGGGAGGCCTTGAGTTCCATCTCCAGCATTTAAAAAAAAAAAAAATCAATGAGACATGTCTAATGATAATAAATAGAGCAAAGCAAGAACTATGATATGCTAACTGTGGCTGTTTCTGCTGAGCAACATTTTGAGTTATGGTCTTTTTGCTTCTTGGTATTTTCTCATGTTTCTCTAAAGAGCATGTTTCACTTTTGTAATAATAAAGAACACTAAAGGAAACTTCATTTTGAAAAACAAGCAAAGGAATTAAGATGAATCTCCTCACCCAATCATGAGAATCAGGAAAGAAGTAAAGAAAGGGTCATAGGATTTTTACAAGTAAAGGGGGCAGGGCCAGTCAGCCAGCCAGGGGCATACAACACCTGCAGCACTAGCCAGGTGAAGCAGAGTAGGGGTGGGGCACCAGGTGTAGCACAAAGTCTCACGAATATCCTGTACTAGGACATGAATGAGATGGGAATTTTTGACTTAGGACACTGAATGTAGGGAGCTACAGAAAGTTTTTGAGCAGAGGAGAAACGCTCAGAGCTCAGAACCTGGGGCATTCCAGAGGCAGCAGTGAGCAGTTAGGAGGCAAGATGCTAGAGGGAGGGTGGGGTGGAGGAGTAGAGAGCAGAAGTTCGGCCTTATTACTATTCGGTGATCGGTATTTGATAATGACTTCTAAAAGCCTCCAATGTCTTCCTACCTGGACTGCGGGCTTCTAATTCCTCCTACTCCACACGACAATGAGGCAAATAAGAATACGTTCAATGAGTAAAGGTCTGCAAGGAGATGCTCAAACGAGAAGTTAAGCCAGGCCGTTTCCCTTCAGATCAAGGTCAAAGCAGGAACCGCATTCTTGCAGCCCGCCCTAGTAAGGGTCCTTTATCCTGGATGACCCGGGAAGGATCTACCAACGAAGGACTTGGGCCAAGAGCCCAGAATCGACTAGGAGAACCGGAAGGGCGAGGCCTCCATATAACTCCATGATAAAAGTGGCGGGGAGCGGGGGAGATGGCGTCCTGGAAAGACCCCAGAACGGTTGTAAGGTATGGGGCAGGAAGGAGGAAGACGGCGGGAAGGAGAGTCTGGACAACTCCGTGGGCCGGGCACCGGGGCGGGTGGGAGAGTTTGCTCCGCACTCCGTGGCGGCTGAGGCCGGCGTCCCTGGAACCTGGGCCCGGAGGCCGCGGGGCGTGGGCGGGGCAGGTGGGGCCGGGAGGCGGGGTCGATGGGGGCGGAATTCCACGGCACATGCGCACCACGGCGGGCCGCGCGCCGTAAGGAGTGGCACTTTTTAAAAGTGCAGCCCGAGGCCAGCCCTCAGCTTCGAGCACCTCTGTCCAGCGCCGGATCCCTCCCGTCCCAACTGCGGCGCACGCCCCGGTCCCAAACCAGTCCTACCCAGGCCAATCCATCCTGCACCATGCCGGTGAAAGGAGGTACCAAGTGCATCAAATACCTGCTCTTCGGATTTAACTTCATCTTCTGGGTGAGTGAGCGTGACTGCCGTGCGCTCCTCTCTGGGGCCACCTGTTCCCCGGCCCCTGACACAGTCCGAGGCCGGAGGTGCCTGGTAGCTGGGAGTTCCAGTAGCTGGCACTGCCCGCGCCGGGCAGACTGGGCGAGAAGAGAAAGGGCACAGCGGCTGCCAGCTGACTCTTCGGCCGGGGCCAGACCCGGGCGGGACTCCTGGGCATGTTCGTGGGGGGCTCGTCGGAACTAATGGACTGGAGAAGCTGGGGGTCCTGGTTGGCTGGGGTGCGCAGACCAACCTAGACCCCCTCCCTCATCGAGGGTTTGGGGTGGGGTTTGGGTCTGTTACCACCCCGGACCCCTCGGGGTGCAAAAGGGGGAGGCGGCAGAGAAAACGGAGCACTCTCAACTGGGAACTCAACTCCCTGGGAGAGGAAGACTGGCGGGCAGCGTAGTTCGTGACCGATTGGGTTCCACTAGTGTCGGGGGTCTCGAGGAAGGGCGGTTGCGGGCGTTCTAAAGGACTCGGCGGCGCAGGGAGGGCTGAGCAAAGATCTGTTCTTACTTCTACCCTGGAGAGGGGCGATGTCGTGATCCCCCTCCATCCTCGAGGAGGGACTTCACGGGACCCCAAGTTCTCCCAGACTTTTGACTCTGAGCTGAGGTGAGAATGTCTGAGCTCTCCAAGTTACCTGAAAGACTAGCTTGTCTTGATTCTTTTTAAGAGCGATAACTATCTTCACTGGAGAAAACTCTGGGAGAGTTGGGAAAGGAAAGGAGGGGGAGATGCCTATTGGCCCCTCTTGTGGGACGAGCCCTGCGTTTCTGCGTTTCCGGGAGAGATCAGGTGCCCTCAACGGCCCGCCCAGAAGGGCCTGGGCTCGCGCCCCTACCCCCACCAGCCCACCCAAGGGCAAGGCGGAGCCACCGAGAATGGGCGTTTACCTGGAGAGGAGGCTCAGTGCCTGCTCCACTCTGCAAATTAGCCTCTCCACAAATGTGAAGCCTGAAAGAGGTGACGGACAAGGAAAGTGTCCACTCCCAATCTTTGCTTAGGGAGTTGAGGGACCAACGAGGATTGTAATCAGGAATCACCAGGACTCTGTGTCTTGGTTCTGAGGGTCACATCTCCTGAACACATCATGGACAGTGTTTGCCCCTCTGCAAGCAGTAAAGGTTTTGTCAAAGCAACCCCTGTGCCACCCACAAGGGAGATGGCTGTTGGTGTTAACAAGTCTGGTGGAGACTTGTTAAGAGGAACAACAAAATGTGCTATTCCCCTCAACCAGCCACTGGGGTCCCTAGGATCCTCAGAGCAAATCTAGGATTAATCCTATTCCTGGGGTGACGTGGGGGCAGTTCTGCATCCTGCAGAAACTCACCTGCTGTTTCCGGCATCCACACACGCTCTAGTGCCCTGTGCCTTGTTCAACCTTTGACCTGCTTCAGGGAGACCCTGCCTATAGTGGGCACTCCCTCCAGCCCTAGCAGTCATCCCACTGCCAGGTTTGTTTTCCTCCACTGACCAACTCCAGGCACCACAAAAGAATGTCTGAGAGCCCAGCCCCACCCCACCCTTGCTCTTTGGGGATTTTTCCTCTTTTCCTTAGTACAGTGTCTCCCCTGCTGATCTGTCCGTCATCTCCAGCTGTCTGCTAGACTGCATCAAGAATTGGGACTGGGGGCACGGACTTCCACAGTGTGCCTGCGTACCCCCATCTGCCCTGTGGCATATGCAGGAGGCTGAGGGGAGGCGCCTGTGGCCACCCCATGTCAACCCAGTCTGTTGCCTGCTGGCCTGCAATCTGTCGATACTGTCTCCAGCCTGCCACCCGACTTGTATTTAGAGCTCCCCTGTCTGGACTAAGTGCTGTTGGTTAGCTGTGCCATTCGAAACAGATATGTCTCACTCCGGAAGTGTGTGGTTTTAGGGTTGGGGAATGACTTTACAGGTTGTGCACTCAAGTCCGTTTGTTGACAGTGAGGAAGCAGAGTCCGGGAGAGGGGGTGATTTGCCCAGGATCACAGAGACTAAGCCAGTACTTCACACTCCAGGCCCCCCTGTTTTCCTTCTGTCCTCTTCTGTGACTATCACAGGTAGGGAGGTGAGCAGTTAGCTATGTTTTCCTCAGTTATATTGTTCAGATGTCCTACGCTGGGGTCCTAAGCCTTCATCCTCCAGGAGATGATGGAATACAGTCTCCAGAGCCACACCACCACCACACACACACACACTCACACACACACACACACACACACACAAAGTTCCCTGATAGAGCCAGAATCGGAAGCATTATCCCCATTTTAGTGATTGAAGATCAGCAGTCTGGTCTCTGTGAAAGGTGAAGTGACTTATCCAAGGTCATGTGGCAGGATAGTTTCAGACGTATGTTACCTTACCCAGATGTGTTACTTTACCAGATTCTAACTGAGAATGGAAGAAGAGTGAGATAAATATCCCCCAAAATATTTTTTAAGACTAGCTATGATCTCTAGGAAATGCTGGGGTTATTATGATGTCACCATTTGTTTCTCTCTTCAGACCAGCATTTATCAACTTGGTATTTGGAACCCAAAGTGGGCCTTGAAAATCAGGAGGTGGGAGGCTGAGGGCCACCAACACCTCATGTGCTAAGGACACTGAAAGGGGATGAGTGACAGGGATCCAGAGAGAAACCAGCCTCAGTTTCTCTCTGGCAGTAGGGAGGGGCATGCCTCTTCCTTGCCTCACTGATATTCTTCTAGATCACTCACTCCACGATAGCTGAGCCTGTACAGCCTGCCCTCCCACAGTTGGATATCTGATGCCCACAGTCAAACCAGCGGTCTGTTTTCCAAAAATCCCCAGAGCCAATTCCCATCAGTTTATATCTGCATTTCCTTCAGACCACCCTGCCTACCTTTCTACTCCCCCACCCAAATAAAAAGGCTGGGAGGGAAAACATCTTACTATGTTAGAGTGACAAACAGCACAAGTATTTCAAGCTGTGAAGTGGGTGTCCAGGCTTAAGCCAAGCCAGGAATGCGTCTTTCTCATTATTTCGCCCAAAATCCTAGCCTGCAAATTAAGGGCTTTCTGTCCTCTTCATGGTCAGAGAAGGGGAAAAGCCTGGAGCAGAGGAGGTGATGGGTTGGCTACACTAGAGAGCAGACCCTACCACCACTATTTTCTGTCCATTTGCCCAGACCTCAGTTTCCTCATCTGTAAAACCAATGCATTGGAGCAAATGGTCCCAAAAGGTCCCTCAAGCCAGCCTATGAAACCAACCTCACCACACCACACCACCTACAGAAATAGGATTTTCCCACATGACCCAAAATAGGAGTCAGGATGTAAAAACACATGGCAGATAGTGAGGCTTCTCAGAATTTGGCTTCTCTTAACCTGTATCTTGGAGGAACCTTGTTCTTGCATCTGTATTCCTGGTACTGGGTCTTTACTCATCCTAGGTAGGGTCTCTCTGTTCTGGGTGTTCTGTTCTCGTTGCCCATATACCTGAGCCATTTGTGGTCATTCCATCTAATAGTCAAAGTTCCAGCTTTGGATTCAATGTCCCCATCACCGAGAGGATCACAGCGAGGGTTTAAGGTATGTGTGTAATGCACTTAGCACAGTCAGTGCCAGGTCAGCCCCGGACCCCACTTTCTATTGTTAGAAAGTGGAAACAGGTTTGAAGCTGTGGGGAGGGTGGGAGCAATTCCCTGAGAAGTGTGGAAGTTTAAACCACAGATGGAGCCAGGAGCACACTCCCAGTCCACACAGCCTCCCTTCTTTTCCACCTCCTCCTGCATCAGTGCCAACCTCTTTCCCCGCAGGGAAACACTGACTCCATTTCATGTGTTGGTACTTGTCTGACTGCGGTGGGAGGGGGCATTTCTGAAAATAAAACTGCATGGCAGAGAAACCTAAGGCATCAGGAGGTGAGGTTCTGGGCAGGGCATGGATTTGGGGCGGGGGCGGTGGTGGCAAAGGCCCCTCCCCCGCTTCCCTCACTTGTCGCCTCCTCCAGAAGCTGTTTGACTTGGATGTTGGACTGAGCTGGTGGCTGGGCTGTTGCATAAAATGGCTTCCCAGGTCTGGCGCCCAGACTGTCTGAGCTGGTGGTGAAGCTCTGTGTGTGTGCTGGAGCTGGCAGGTTTAGGGAGAGGTGAGCTGAGGCCAGGTGTCAGCCGCTGACTTCTCCCCTGCCCACATCTTTACGCTTTCTCCCCCACCATCACTGTTGGCAACCCCAGTGATGGTTGCCAACAACAGAGATTCAACTCCTGATCTTTGGGTGATGGGAGGAGCATTCCTGTATACACCGCTCACGCTCACTCTCTGCACACACACTCTCACCCACACAATCTACCTCTGGTTTCATAGTGGCTGACAGCACCAACCCAGACCTGTGCTCAAAGGAAGCAGCCGCTGGTTGAGACCTGAATTTGAAAGGGCATTGATAAGCAGCCCTATCTGTGGGCCCTGCTCTCCAGAGCCCTTACTCCCGTAAATGAGTCTTTTATGGCTTCTGGTGTCACAAATTGGCATTCTCACACCTTCCTTTGGGAGGAGTGTTGGATGTGAGCCTTCCCTCTTGCATACAGAGCTGTGTCCCGGGTTTGTTCTGTTTATTTTCTTGTTCAGTTCAATTTTACAAGGAGGTGTGGCTTCTGCAGTTGGTTGCAGTTTGCAACTTAATAACACCTTGAATTTCCAAAAGCACCTTTTCTTCTGTAGGACACAAATTTTAACAGGGTTTTGCCTGGACACTCTGATGGCAAGGTAGGGGCCTGAGGTCCCCAGGTTTCCACAGGTCTATTGCCACTATATCCTAGGTGGACCTGTGTGAAGTCAGGGAAAGAAGGGCAGAGACGTTTAAAGAAGATAGTGTTTACTATGTTCTGTTTACTATGTTCCCTCTCCCAAGTGGGGTCAGTAAAATTTTATTTGATCCTGCTGCAGGTTTTTTCAATCATAAACATTGCAGGAATGAGCTTTACCTGTTATGTATAGGAGAGGAACAGATTCATTGT